AAAACAAAACATAAAACAAACTAAGTATCAACCGATACTTAAAACAAAACATAAAACAAAACATAAAACAAATTAAGTATCAACCGATACTTAAAACAAAACATAAAACAAACTAAGTATCAACCGATACTTAAAACAAAACATAAAACAAACTAAGTATCAACCGATACTTAAAACAAAACATAAAACAAACTAAGTATCAACCGATACTTAAAACAAAACATAAAACAAATTAACCGAGCACCAGCTCCGGTTACAATGATCACAGCACGCCGCCGTGGAGTAATTTCCTTTCCTAATTATATCAAGTTAGTCTATCATACATCTCTGCCAGTATATAAGTTCTCTTACCTCGCTTTTGGTTCGCAGTTGAGTGGATCGGACTCATCATTAGATAAGAATGTTTGTTGTGATACACGTGTTCGTGAACTCGTGATGAATTCAGCCTATTTACTCAAAAGTCTTGGCACCACACTTTCTCTTGGCGCCAAGGTGTCCGAATACTTTTGAAATTCGTTAGTACTGGTACCTCTGCAGACGCTACTTCTTGTAGTAATAGTATTATGCCAAGATTTCAACAGTTTTTCCCTCGCCAGATTGGATGCTTACCTACCAATCACCTGTGCACCCAACTTGCCAATCCATAGTAAGTTTAGCCTATGAGAGTAGAGTTAGGCAGACTTTTGTGCGCACCCTCAATACAGTGCTTTTGGCCTGATACCGTATTTCAAAAAAACAAAAATTTCCCACCCCCTTTTCTTCCCACCATATGATACTTCTCCCTTCTTCCCGCAGCCCTACTAATAAAAGTGTTATGCGCCGGCAGATGTTTCCATAATTACGAGAGATTATCTATCAACTCTTCCCCTTATCAGCACCTTTAAGCATTCCCAGTAAAATGGACACAGTCTGTTTTCTTTCTTTCTTTCTAATAGTTCCACCCAATTTGCCCATCACAAATCATTACCACTTAACGGTACGGAATAATCGGCACTGACCATCACTCGAACTTTCCGGGCAAACCTGTCATAATGTGGTGCGAGACCTGTAGACTATAGTGGTAGCAGCGATAATCTCGTAAGGCATCATTATCCTATAGGCCTGGAAACAACCCTTGGACAAAAAAAGTAACCGTAGGGGGGAATGGGCCGCCTCTTTATGAAACACGGTATGACGGAGTTTACAATATAAACGGGGATCAATGGAGAAAACAATACCGGTAGGAAAGAAAATTGGCGGGCGATGGTAACTTGCAAGTATCATTACTTATACACGAAGGACGTCGATAGAGGACAGACGGGAGCGTCACTCAGCGATCCACACGAGCGGTGAATACCGGTAACTACCGTAAGAGTACCGCAGACTACGATATCAAATGATACCCAACCACACAGAAGACCGCAAACCATCTTCACGGATAGGACTTCCCCCCCCCCTCAACCTCCAAACATCCTACCGTATGATACTGGTAGACTACAACTCTCTCGAGAAAGGCTCACTCACTCACACCCAACCTCACATCCACACCAAGCACGCACAAGCACAAGAACAAGAACAAACCACAAGACTCATCCCAAACACCCCCTCCGAAAATGGTGACTCAGAACCACGTGACAACGTACCACATTTACATAAAGCCGTACCGTAACCCGATCACAAACCCATGGGGCATGTCTGTCTGCCCTCCTCTCCCTCCCTCCTGAGGCCTCCTCCGTACTCGGGCGCAGTATTGTACTGGGACTCGCCGTCTAATCACAGCCTCGTCCGCAAAGCCTTTTGTCGGATGGAAGGGTAAGTGCTGATACTCGTATTATATGACAACTAGGATACAAAGTATTGGAAAATATTTCCGTCGCAGATTATGCGGGCCAACAGATTTACGGTTAGTCTACTCCAAGTAGTAATAGCAGCAAAATTCACTTAGACTATGATATATTTCTCTTCTCATACCGGTAGCGGCCGGCGGCACTCCGGGAGAATGACCAATAGCAAAGCGGTGTTATCGTTATTAAAACGCAAAATTAGTACAGTACCGTGCATTACCTATCATTGCAATGTTTTATATCATAATTTACTACCGTAGCACTTTTTCCGCCGCCGGGAGCCTTGCGGTGCTACTTTTCCTTGTCTTCTGCGAAGGAGCCTTGCAGACGAGGCTGTACGGTACAGTACCAGTACCCGTAACAGATACGGTAACTGATTGATCCCGCATGGGCCAGTCTGCAGGGAACGGCTTGAAAAAAAAAAAAAAACTGGGGTTTTTTTAATTTTATTTGCTCGCGCCGTGGTGAGGACAACTATCAATCGATAAAGCAATCATAACACCAGCCCAGTTATGCTATACGTGGCGGAACAAAAGTGATAATGATATCGTATGGTGGGAGGATATCCCCACGCAAAAAAAAACTGGAGTGTGTGGGGGTAATGATTCGGGGGGACACGTCTTGTTTTGCCTTAATTACTTGCCTGGACTGCTTACTGTACTGTACTGCACAGTGCGGCACCGGTACAGTACTCGGGTAACTTTACTTGCCTACAGATAGTTGTGCTGTGCTGTGTTGCGTTGTTGTTGTATAATGGGTTGCCGTGTCCTTGCGGCTGTGGTATACTTGTAGCGGTGCGGCGGGTGGGGGGGAGGGGATAATGCGGCTTTGTCTTTTGGCTACCACTGCGGTGGAGGGAGGGGGATGGAAGGAAGGAAGGAAGCTGGGAAGGATGCTATTGTGTTTGGGAAATTGCTGTACTCGTACCGGTGCTGTCCTCTGCTCGTACGGTGCGTACCGTACTTCTGCACGGTCGTGACACCGTGTCCATCCAAGCTCAATGGGGAAATTGTGGGGAGGGAGGGAACAACCCAAGAGGTGTCACAAACAAATCAGCAGGCATGATACCGGTAAATAAAGGTGAGGGGGGGAGCCCAACTGGAGGGCAGAATATGGTACTGTACATAACGGTACAAAAGAGCGAAGAATGAGCGGAGAGTAGGGATACAAGTAAATAACTGATAAGATTTAATGATAACAAAAATACCAACTGGCAGAACTACCATACTCATGCGATACCATAACTCCAACCACAGGCTTCCCCGTGAATCATCTTCCGGCTGCTGTGCTGTGCCCACCCGTACCGATACTCTAGAGCGCGCACAAAAAAGGAAAAACAGACAAAAGCTATGACTACATCGAAAGAAAAGAATCCAGAACACCCAAGTTACCGGTAAACGCGAAGCATGGAACAAACCCCGAACAGTCGCACCAGCCAGAGGAGCTATATATATATATGTAAGAAAAATAAGAAAGGAAAAAAAAAGGTTACTTTTGAATTTGCGCCATTTCGTAATATAGTATATCCCAGGGCAATCCTCCCCCGCCCAATCTCCCCATGCAGCACCATACGAAGATCTAAAGCTCAAAGTTTACTCCTGATACCTTCTAATCTAAACTTGACGTCCTTGAGAACCTTGGAGGTGGGCTTCCACTTTTGGAACTGCTCGAGCAGCTCAGCGCACTCGCCTTCTAGTTTACTCCTCACGTGCGGTTCCTCCAGCATGCCCCTCATACTCCAGGGGAGGAGGAAGGGGTTGCTGTTGTTTGTTGGTAGCTCGAACATATCAAACGCTAGAGGCACGTCTGGGCAGTCGGTTGTTTCCAGCGCGTGGCGGACACCGAGGCTGCGAGCCAAAGTTAGTAGGGGATCATTTTGCTGGGGGGTAGGGATACCTTACTCGTAGACGGCGTTATCGTCGTAGATCCGGGAATGCCCTTCACCTCCATACAAGCTTCCGGCCAGGGGGGAACTTAGTTCTCTGACCAAGCCGTGATCCGAGATACCAAGGTTCCTCAACTTCATTGCGAACCCTACGAGGTGGCTCAGGAAATCCGGTGCATGAACTCTGCCGTCCACGAAAACCGCCCGGAAAATATATGGGTGGCTAATGTTTGAGAACGTTGATGATTCGAGAGGGACTAGCTGGTCGTCTATGCTACCAACGTAGAGGATCCGGACATTCCGCGCGAGACAGGTCCTTAGTGCCTGTATGTACTTCTTCGATGGAATGCTCTCCATCCTCTGAAACTCGAAGAGTTCCTTTGCGGACCCCGTCAAGATAGTTGTCGGGAGATGGTAAAATGGTCCCAGATTGATGCCCGCCATTGCTGTAAATCCTACTCTTGCCTTGTCCACACAACCTCCCTCTATGAGCCTTGCTAACAACTGGACTCCTACAACTACGCCCTGTGAATGTGCTGCCATTAACACGAAATCCGCGTTCTTCACATGATCCATCCAATTTGCAAGCAGCTTCCATAGCATTTCAACCCTGTCCCCAACCTTCCCCTCGCCTTCTAGTGCAATCTTCTCGATTTCAACCTCGACGCCGTTCTTCTCAGCCCACCTCTTTATAGCGGCTGCCGCAGAGTTGGCAAAACGAATCGACGTTCCTGTCGGTTCTCCCAATACCGTACGGACTAGACGCATTGGGAAAAAACCATGCACCCCAATAGCAACGGCCTTCTTAATTCTAGGAGGTGTAGGCGTCAGGTAGAGGTGCTTCTTGCTGATAGGAGGCTGGCTCTTGAAGACTTTGGTGATCTGACAGAAAATAGAAGGCCGATTCAAACGCCGGTAGCAGGAATCGAAATTCGGGAGGAGATGGTTCGTAGGCAAGATCTTTTGCAGCTTTTGTTTTGCGGTACCCGCACTGCTTGATGAAGGAAACGGAGCTGATTTGGGGGTAACCGATACCGTAGCTGCGGGGGAAGTGTTCGCTTCCGCCTTTTTAGGTGTGCCCGGACGGGAATCCTCGCGCAAGTTGTTGAGGGCCCGGGCCATCTTGGGGTCAGGTATTGATATCGGAGATATTTCCCTGGCCTTTGCCTTTTGTGGGCTGGATTGGGATGGCGTGTCAGCCACAGCTAGCTCACCCACCGTCGTCGTTGAGATACTAGTCGAAGGATTGTCTGACGGTTTTGAACGTTCCCTGGACCAGAATGCCCATGTGGAAGTCTTCACGATGGTCTGTGCGGCCTCTGGGGTCCGTGATAATGGTGTGACAGAGTTCGAACTGGTCTGTGAATTGTCGGCATGCCTTGGCGGTACCTCGAGACCGATAGAAGATTCCGAATCAGGGTCTGCCCGAGGTTGAGGTGGTGCTTGATCTGCAACACACTCACTATTTGACGCATCTCCATTTTCCGACCGGTTCCCACTTTGTGGATCTACTGGAAGCTCTTGATATTGCCCGCCCCACCAACCAAACCAAGATTTAGGCCTGAGTGTGGCTACATCATCACCCGAACGATCTGCTGGAGGGGCAGCCTCAGCCATAGGCTCATGTCGTTCGGCGGTCCCAACAGTCTGAGCTGCCGGCGTGGCTGGTATTTCCGGCTGCATAGTGGGTGGCGCTTGCGTTTCCGGCGGCTGGGGGACGATTTTAGCTGGATTCTCAATCTCAACTGCTGGGGGCTCTTCCGGCGCCTCGTCTATGGCTTCCGGCTCTGGCGCAGGCTGCTCAGTTATCGCCTGGCGGCCATACCACCAACCAAACCAGTACGAAACAGGTTGTTCAGAAGACTCATTCCTTGCCCCCCGATCTAGTGAGCCTTTGGTCTCTTGTGAATCACTCGTATCGTTCGGGGGCCCTGTAAACGGTGGCGTCCGGGCTTCGGGCTGAGTCGAAACGGGCTCCGTAATTGGGAGAGTAGTGGTACTGGAACTGGTAGGAACAGGTGGAGGAGCCAAAGGCTCTTCTAGCGGCGGCGGGGAGGATTCCCGTGGGAGTTCCGGTGATGGTCCTGCTGTAAATGGTAAAGACTCAGGCGGTCCAACATCGGGCACAGGTCCACTCGTTCCGCCAGAAACACTTGGCTCCCTCGACACGTTTTCAGAAGCTACCTTTGTCACGGCAGCGGACTTTGTTCCCCCGGATCGAGACCAGGTACCTGTTCGCGAAAACCAACCCTTGGAGCTCACTTTCTGATGAGGTAAGGAGGTACTTAGCAACCTTTAACTCCGTGTCAGAAGTTAACGAGACTTACCAGTGGTTCAACGTAACTAGATTTGCAGGACTTGTAACTTCCAGTCTTCTTCGGTTCCATGCTTGTGGATGACTGAGCGGGAGGGGGGGATGTGACATCAGTGGATACTAATGATAGCTGTGAGGTAGAGCGAAGGGTGGACTCGCTTGGTGGCAGTGACGAGGGAACGCCAGAAGCGTGAAAAGTCGTGATAGCTGGCGAACGAGGATCTGGAGGCGAGGTAGCAAGTCTAGGGGAAGGGGGGGGTCTGTCCTTCTTCTCACCCGTGGTCATGGAGACGGTTGAACGGTTCAAAATGTGTAAGGAAGAACGAAGAAGGGGAATGAAGAGACAACCGAGGATCAGGGAAGAAAATAGTTGCTGTCGTGGTTGTGAGCGTCTGAGAGCAGGGAATGAGGGACAATCAGGCAGCATGCAGCGAGCTCCGGCGGCTTGATTTATCGGCAGTCGGTATTCAACCTTTCAGCCCTCAACAAACTCAAAGTATATAGTTGCCAATAGTATTTGGATAGAGAGAGTGGAACACGATACTCGAGTACATGAACGTATAAACGACACATTTCCAGAAAAGATGCAATAAAGAATTCGGTTAGTCTCAACGTCACCTGATTTTGATCTTATCTGGTATCCGAACTTGATAATTCAAGACAGATCAGCTAAGCTAATCTGTCATAGAGTAAGGGGCTGACATACATGCGAAGAAAAATAATGGGATAACGGTATTCTTGACCAAGGAACGGAAGTATTCGGGATAACTATGGCTCTTGAAAGTATTTAAGGCCAGGCTGGGCTTGTATCATACCAATTTAAATAAATCATAGTAAAAGTTGAAAAATGGAATATTTTCCGGAATGGAACAATTGTATTATCGTAAAGAGAAACTGTGGCTCAATATGGTTCAAGCACTTCAAAACATAGGTGATATAAGGCTGAAAAAAAAAAAATTATGGGTTCAAGAAGGGAAGACTGTCAACCATGTGGCACAGTCAAATGCAACAATGGCTGTGCAAATAATTGCCAAGACAATGAGTGATTGACTATGAAGAAGTATAACTATTGTAAGAGATATTAATTATATACAATAGTTTGAGAGTCTGAAACTCTATAATGACTTCTATATATTTTGATAACCTTCTCTCTAAAGTCTAGTGTACTATAAGCAATACCTTCATAGTTACTCTCATCATTCTCTCACTACACACCTAAAACTTCCAGATTAAAGTTGGTTTTACTGAATTCAGGCATTCAGGTACTATTTTATATACTGTACAAATGTTGTATCTGCTATTGGGAAAATGTTTTTATTTGTAGTATACTATATCAGTATAACATATTATGCTTCTTCATATAATTTACTTTAATTAACTTACATGCTAAATTTATGATTACTCAGCAATTGTATGTTGTATTTCAATGCCAAGCCTCAGGTTTTAGACCAAAAATTGAATTTTTCAATCAAGAATGCCACTCCTGATACTTGCATCTACTAAATTAAAAAAACATACTTTTATTCTATGTCACTTGCTTTATATTTCTATGTTTTTTTTTACCTAAGTTGGACTACTATTAGGTGGGTGATGTTTAATTGAAAATCCCTCAAAATGAGGTTGACACTTATACCTTCTTGCACTATACATGTGGCTGTATTATACAAAATTATTTATTCAAGTTGCAATACAGTAGATTATTATTATACTATTTCCTGTTTCCCCTCTGAGGGTATATTAGTGACCCAGTAGTAACTATTATATTTGCACTTTACTAATACTTAAAACTCAAGTGAATAATAGAATATATTTCAATAATATAGTTCTATTATTTAGTCTGTTTTTTATTTAAATTTTTAAACAAGTAGGAAGTTTATAACTATCTAGTAATACTTAAATATAAAATTGGATTATAATAAGATAATTCATATCAGATATTATAATCTGACTCATTATACAAACTGGTTTGAAAACTTAGTAATGACTTTGTAACTGAAACTAGAATCTAGTTCTAGGATTTGTTTATATTCTGTTTTACCTGTAGTTTCAAGTATCCTTTAATATTTAGTTTGTTTTACCTGTAGTTTCAAGTATCTATTGATCCTAGGTCTGTTTTACCTATAGTTTTAAGTACTCTTTAATAATTTATTTATTTTACTTGTATTTTTAAGTATCCTTTGATACTCTGTTTATTTTACCTGTAATTTTAAATATCCTTTGATACTTTATTTATTTTACTTGTAGTTTCAAGTATCTATTAATACTTTCTTTGTTTTACCTGTAGTTTTAAGTATTCTTTAATACTTAGCTTATTTTACCTATGATTTCTAGTATTGAAGAATAGTTTGTTTATTTTACTTGTAGTTTCAAGTATCTTCTAATACTTTGTTTGTTTGAAGTATCTCCCTGGTTTAGGAACACTTAGGTTTTTGCCTATACTGGACAGGAATAGATTTATGTATTTAAAGACTGCCAATTTCCTCAATAGAGTAGCCAACGTTAACAGATAGTATTCTAATAAGAAGATTTTATTATGATGATTATAACATGAACTATACTTATTACTAAAGCAATATTACCAATCTTTTTTAATATGTACAAGTAGGCTATAACTTAGCTTTAAACAGTCTTAAGAATAGTGCTTAAATAAGATAGTTGTAAATAGCCTTCAAGTTTGTTGATACTATTATTGTTAAAATTGTAGTAACAACAACTTTACATTTTCTAATTATTAACTAACAACTTCCATCTAATTGCTTTAAAAGATATAAACAAAGATGTTTATATCTCAGGCTATTGAAGTAACCTATGATTTACCTGACTTGAATATATCCCCTCTATAAAACAAAATACAAGTATAAGAAACTAGTATAGTACTTGTAAGAAGCTCATTTTGACTAGGATAGATGTTTTTCAGAGAACGAAGTTTTTACTTAGTGGTAACCAGAGACTTTTTTGGCTGAAAATGTAAATTTTTTTTTTAAAGTCTTAGAATCATAGCTGACAAGGAATTTAAGGAGTACCATAACATGCATGTTTGTTGAATATAATCTTAAGATAGAGAAAAAGGTAAAGGAAAGTGGAACAGTATAGACTGATAATAAATATAAACAAATTATAGCACAGTAGAAATCTTAAGTAGAGAGTGTAAGTTTTCCTCTTATTATTTCTATTATAGGTTAAAAATAAATATTAATCATTAATATATTTATTATAGGGTGGTGATGGTCAGGAAGATTCAGTTAGAAGAGGTATAGGAGGAAAAACAAAAAGGTCTTAAGATATGATTATGGGAGAGGCTTAGTAACAATAGTTAGTAACTACAAAAAAGGAGAAACTAAGTTATGAGGCTGCAGTAGCAGTACCAGATACTCATTATTTAAGTAAGGAGAAGAAAGAAGAAAAATTTGTAGTAACAGGATATTAAAGAAAGTAGTTAAAAAATAAAAGATAGAAAAAACAAGAGATAAAATAAGAAAAATAAGAAAATGTAATAAGATATTGGATATAGGATTAGCATAAGAGAGGAATTGATTAACTCCAGTATTGGAATAGGTGGTCAATACTTTCTTGCCAGTTACAGAGGCCCTGAATACAAATATTAATTTTCTTGATCCTTACACCTCTCAATAACATAAATCTACCACTTTGTAATGGATAGGGTCTGAGGGTCGGGTAGCCCAAAGCACACTACGAGAGGAACAAGCGAGAGTTCAGAGGTGAGGTCTAGGGACAGGTGTACAACCTAACTGAGTTGTATGAGGTGCAGGGTTCAGGGGTTCAGGGTCAGGGTTCATAGGGTTAAGGGGACATGAAGTAGAAGAGAGGTGTAATTTCTAGGTATAGGTATCCAAAGGAGATTACCAGATTGTGTAAAGAACATAAAATGTAAGGGGGCACACCACCTTATATAGAAAGAAATCCTCCCTGATCACTAATACAAAAGAAAACCCTTGGCGTCATACACAGCGGTGATGTCTCCACTATGTTCTACCAAGTTTTATTGTATGGCAATATGTCCCAATCATCACACAAAGGAAACCCTCCATACTGCAACCAAGAAAACTACAATCAATAAATGCAACTAAAGCCCCATGCATATTCCGTCTCCATGGCCAGGTGGATGTAACACTAGGTCCCCTCTCCGATGCCGAAGTCCCCTGAGGCAAGCTACTCAGGTAAGAGGCTGGGCTTATGGGGGTAACATTCATAGAACCGATCCAGAGCTTGGAGTCTATTGACTGAGTTGGTGGGTTCCCAGGTGGCCTCGGCATATCCTTTTCAACGTATCAGGTAGCGTAGGTGGTTTTGGATGAACTTGGTGTCCAGGACCTCCTCTACCTGGCAATCTTGCTCTCTATCTACCTCTACAAGTAGTGGCAGTGGGGTCTCCTAGCCAGGAAGGGAATTGCAGGTGGCGAGATCAAGGAGGGAGACATGGAACATGTTATGGATCTTTATAGTGGGTAGAAGATCCAATTGGTAGGCATGGGTTCCTACCTGGATGAGGACAGGGTAAGGGCCAAAACGCTTGTTGTCTAGCTTCAGGGAAAGACATTTGGTTCGGATGTTCCTCGCATTTAGCCAAACACGATCATCAATCTGGAAGTGAGGGGCCAGGTGTCTCTCTTTTATTGGTGTATTCCTATTACCGGTCTTGGGCGAAGGCGATCTCTGTTCTCAGGTAGTTATAGATATCCTTGATCTGGTCTACAAACAGGCCGGTAGTAGGTTCATCTGATGCTTCGTTGGGGGTATCTAGGAAGTCCATGCGGGGGTCATAGCCATGATTTGCAAAGAAAGGTGACAAACCGGTAGATTCCGAAACATGGTTGTTGGCCACGAACTCTGCCATAGGGAGCCAGAGGGACCAGTTATCCTGTTGGTAATTGACGAAGGCCTTAAGGTACTGTTCTATAATAGCATTGACACATTCAGTTTGGCCGTCCATCTGCGGATGGAAGACCGTAGACAGTTTTTGTTCAACCTGTAGTTTTTCACATACAGTTTTCCAAAAGTCTGCGGTGATAGTTTTCGGGAGGGAGGGATGTTTCCAGATGTGGCGTAGGTGAAGATCGGCAAGGGTAGGGGTATCAATAGTAGTGTAACAGGTGATGAGGTGGCGTATCTTGGACTCGGACATCCAGTCCACCACTACCAGGATAGCATCATTTCCTTAGCTCCGTGGCAGACCAGTAATAAAGTCCATCGAGATATGTTCTCAGGGGTGATCAGGTATTGGCAGAGGATGTAGGATTCCGAAGGGGGCGTGTCAAGCCGTTCGAC